ACTCCTTAAAATGAACAAAAAATCGTACTTCTTCTAAGCAGACTATGTATTATTCCGCACTTTGGTCACCATTCTCAACTCTGCCTACTGCCATTTATGCCTTGTTATATTGTCTAGTTCCTTTTTAGTTTTCCAGGTATGATTCCCTCTTAGCACCATGTATTACCGTTATCAACATTTTATACTTATTGTTTGTAGACATATGTTATGGACGTCCATCCTTTTAATCCTCGGATAGCTATGAGTGCTGGCTATGATGGACAAACAATAGTGTGGGATGTAAGTTTTACTTTCTCTGTTGCCTAATAGCTTATTTTCGTATTTACTAAAGCCTTTATTTCCCTTCTTCTAGATTTGGGAAGGCATACCTATCGAAACATATAAGATTTCGCACTTCAAGTTGGTCGATGGGAAGTTTTCACCGTAAGCAAAAAGTTTTGTTCTGTACTCTTTATGCTCTTACTACATCTAATTGCTAATATGTATCTTTACATTTAGGGATGGAACGTCAATCATACTTTCAGATGATGTTGGCCAACTTTACGTATTAAGCACAGGCCAAGGGGATTCTCAAAAGGACGCTAAATATGATCAGGTACGTATATAACTTCAGTTGCGGATGAAGCTTCATTACTGTACTTCTAAGTACTACATTTCTGATAGATACCCTACAGAAATTCATTTCTCTTAGTTCTGTTACTCGGAGAGAACATATGTCTCCCTTTTTCATATAGGGTGAAATGAAATTTCCTTATAATTTCTCTGTGGATCTTGCAGTTCTTCCTGGGGGATTATCGGCCACTAATTCATGACCTATATGGTAATGTCCTTGACCAGGTAAATGTTTACCTTTGTGATTCTTCCTATTAAAATTGGATAAATAGTTTGTTTCATCTCTGCAATTCTGCTTGTCATAGGCATTTGAAAACTCATATTTTTTACCCTTCTAGTGATTTTACTTATAAAATCGGATAAATAGTTTCTTTTATCTCTGCAATTCTGCTTGTTATATGAAAAGTTTAACCACTAATAGGCATTTGGAAACTTTGAACCAGGAATCTCAGCTTCCACCTTATCGCCGAAATATGGAGGATCCTCTTTGTGATTCAGGTTTTGCTATTTTTTACTATCGTTACAAGTGATTTGTGGATCCTTCTACAGTTATACTCGGGGTGGGCATATTATTCACTCTCTGTCGTTCTGAATTCCAGCGATGATTCCATATGAAGAGCCATATCAGACCATGTTTCAGAAACGGCGACTTGGCGCCTTAGGCAAAGAATGGCGACCATCTGCTTTAAAGCTGGCTGTTGGGCCAGATATCACTTTAGATCAAGATTACCAAATGCCACCTCTGGCAGATCTGGACTTATTAGCTGAACCATTGCCAGAATTTGTAGATGTAATGGAGTGGGAACCAGAAGTCGATAACTTGAGCGATGAAAATGACTCCGAATACAATGTACCAGAAGAATATTCGTCTGGAAAAGAGAAAGAATGTTTAAACTCTTCAACCTCTGGTGAGTCAGGTTCCAGTTCTAGTGAAAGCGACGAGGACGGTGATAATCAGAATAGCCTTAGAAGATCCAAAAGAAAAAGACATAAGACAGGAGTGAGTATTTTGTAATATTTGCCTTGATCTTGTGCCTAAATATGCTACTTATCCCTTTTTATCTATTTACCAGGCTGGGATCATGCCTAATAGACGTGTTAAAAAGAAAGACACTGATGAGCTTGAAGGAGCGACAAACAAAAACAAACGTACCAGGAAATCTAGGAGTGGTCGTAAAGAATCGAGGAGGAAATCGTCAAAATCTAAATCGTCCAGACCTAGGCGAGCAGCTGCTCAAAATGCCCTTTCTTGGTTTTCTAAGATTACTGGTAGATCTAAAGATGCAGAAGAAGAGGAGGATGTCTCTGAATTGAGTGGGTCATCAGAAAGTGAATCGACAACACAGGACTCAGGCACTGGGGATAGTGAACTTGATGTAGCTTTGTTAAATGGGCATGGCAAGCAATCCAAAGGGAAAAATATCCTCGTATGTGATTCAGACGATGGGGCTCAACAGTTTGATATTACAGAAACTCATCCTACTGAACGGAGGAGATTGGTTGTTAGGTTTCCTGTTAAGAACTCAAATAATCTTACCTTGCTGGAGAACCTACCTGGAACATCTTCTGATGTTCCAACGACACCTTTAGGGAATGGCTGTGCTGAAGACTCGAGCGTTCCTGAGAAGCTTGACCACACAAACAAATTTAATGGGTTAGATGCAAGTGAAGTCAAATGGGGAATGGTTAAGGCTCGTTCATCAAAGCGAATGAGAGGTGAAGCAAAATCATCGCATGGACTTATGGACTCTGAGCCAGAGGGAAAAGAAAATAATGTTAAGGAAGATGCAAATCACCATGACAATGGTATTACTGAATCTAGTTATTTGGAATTAAGAACAGATACAGATGGCGTTGCAGTTGACACACACCCGGCGATTTCTAATGGTTTGCTAAATGGTGACGAACGATGCCTAATAGAAGATGGGTCACCAAGTCGAATGGCTGTTGATGGTGCTTCTAAAAGTTCTCAGGATGTAACCGGTCGCCTGCATGATCTGAAAGATAGCCTTCCACCTCTCTCTAAGACGTTGAGGATACGCTCCAAGAGGGTCTCAAGGACTCCTGATACATCTTTGAAGCAAGAAGTTAAGTCTTCATCAATAAATCAGGAGAGTGGTGGCTCTGGGGCATTAAATGATGATTCTGCAGACACTAAATGTGATTTGCCATTTGAATGTCAAAATGATAGTGTGGTTGGAACAGAGCTGCCCCTGAGAAATGATTGTGCGCATGAATCAAATCCGCCGATCAGTGATCCTGTCTCAATTGCTAATGATGTTCATGTGTCACATCCTAAACGGATGTTTGATTTTGTCTATAGACGACTGAAGTCAAGAAAGCATAAGAATAACTCAGACGGGAGTGCTACTCTTAGTCAAGAAATAAGTCCAGGTTCTTGTAGTCAGGATAAGAATGGTGGCGCTAATTCCCATGAAGCTGTCCCTAATGGGTTCCATGGGACGGAGTCGAATGGATTTGAGAAGTCGGAAGGTAGTTTGACAGACATCCAAAATAAACTAAGTAAGTCACGCGGAAACCAAAACTCTCAAGAAGAAGAAGGGAGATCAACTTCTGGGGCAACACTTCGGTTGAGATCCACAAGGAATAGAAGGTCTACTTATCCTTATAGTGAATCTAAACCTGCTGAAACAAAGAAGCCTCCGCAGTCAATAGAAAAGGTATCATGGTTGACATTATCGACACATGAAGAGGGTTCTCGTTATATTCCACAAAAGGGGGATGAAGTTGCGTATTTGCGACAGGTAAGTGTTAGTAGTGTGATCTTATCTTTGTTTGATATCAGTTGTTTTAACATGCGGCTGTTACTCGTATCTTGCAGGGGCATCAAGAATACTTAAACTTTAGCTCCCCAAGGGAAGTGGCTCCATGGACTTCAGTAAAGGGTGGAAATATGAAGGCAGTGGAGATTTGTAAAGTGGAAAGTCTTGAATACGCAACACTTGCTGGTTCTGGGGATAGCTGCTGCAAAATGATACTTAAAGTCATCGATCCAAACTCGGAAGTGTTCAACAAAACCTTCAAGCTTACATTGCCTGATGTGGTGACATTTCCAGATTTTCTTGTGGAGAGAAGTCGGTATGAAGCAGCGATACAGAGGAATTGGACTTTCAGGGATAAGTGTAAGGTTTGGTGGAGAGACGAAGGCGAAGAAGATGGTAGTTGGTGGGAAGGAAGGATTCTAGCTGTGAAAGCCAAATCACTTGATTTTCCTGATAGTCCCTGGGAGAGGTACACAGTTAAATACAAGAGTGATCCCACTGAGACGCATCTTCACAGTCCCTGGGAGCTTTTTGATGCTGATACCAAGTGGGAGCAGCCTCACATTGATGATAAAGAACGAAACCGTATGCTCGGGGCCTTAACAAAGTTGGAGACCTCAAATAAAAGAACCAAGGTTTGTGATTCTGATCAAATTTAATATTTTCATGGTATTAATTCCAGATTATCCAATTTATCCCAAGAAGATAACAATATGAAACAATCTCTACTCTAATTGGTTTCAGGATTCTTATGGCCTTCAAAAACTGAACCAGACCGTGGGAAGCTCCAGCTACACCAACATGTAAGTTTCTTCAACACTAGAAGAGGATTTTTTTGGAGATGAATCTTGACATGGTTTTTTTCAATGGATTCAAATGTGCAGGTTCCCAGTTCCTTTGTCTCTTGAAGTGATCAGATCAAGGCTTGAGAACAACTATTACCGGAGTGTGGAAGCATTGAGACACGACGTAGCGGTTATGTTGTCCAATGCTGAGACTTTCTTTACTCGAAATAAAAGCGTAGCTGCCAAAATCTCACATCTCTCTAAATGGTTCGACCGCACGCTACCTTCTTTGTAGCATTTCTTCCCTCGTAGCAGTAGTACCTATGTAGATAAAATCTCTTTTTTTCTCAATTTTCTCATGTTTCCAAATTCTTAGTTAGGGTTTTGCAATTTTTTTATTAAGAAAAACTCTAGTTCCAATGAATGAAGAGAATTTTAGGAAATTTTCTTTGTTTTTCTTAGAGAATTTTAAGTTTAGGGTTAGTTGAAGAAAATCTTTTTCAGTGTAAAGAAAGATTGGAGAAGTCGAAACATTTGATGCTTTGGAAAACAGAGAGCCATCTTCCGTTTGAAGATCGAACCCAATTTCAGTATGATTTTAGTGTGGACACTACATGCAAACGTAATTATATATGGGTAAGAAAATAATACTACACAGAATAACAAAAAATGGAATCAATCTATGCTATATCATACAAATCAAGCCCTTGACTTTACATCATCAACAATATCATAATCTATGGATATTTAATCATATTTTGTATTTTCTGGAGTTACTTGATATGCATAATCTTTGACAGGTTTTTTTTTCTTTCTTTCTTGTGGTTCTACTGAGTTCTGAAAACTAAAGGAGATTCTCAAATCCATCAGTGTATTACAACACAAAGCCATAAGCGGCTGAGAAAAAGGAAAAGATGAAACTTAAGAAAAGAAAGCAGTGAGTTTCTTCATGTAGCTCAAAATGATCCACTCTAAAAAAAAATTCATACACTCCAAATTTTCCTAAAACCAATTCAACGACGTTTTCTGTTGCTGCTGTGCCTCTTGCTCTTCTTCTTTCTACTGCTTCTGTCTTCATCAGAATCAGACTCCGAAGCTGATTCTGAATCAGACTCCTCCTCAGATGAAGAAGAACTGTATCTTTTTCTCCTTTGCCTTTCCTTCCTCTGCTTTGGCTTCTTCTTGCTCTTCCTCTTATTCCTTCTCCTCCTCCTTTCCTCCTCCGACTCAGACGATGAACTATACTCTGAACTACTCCCACCAGATGATTCCGAGCCGTCACTACTATCTGTTTCAAACACAGACGCTTCACTATCACTGCCAGAATCAGACTTCGACCTCTTCTTCCTCTTGCTCTTCTTAGACAACCGCCTCTCACCTCCTTCTTCATCTTCTTTCCCATTCCCTGCTTCTACCTTCTCATCATCACCATCAAGATCATCAACAGAAGGCTTCATCCTCAGCTTAGGATTCTTAAGCTGCTGAGTTCTCGAAGGTCTAGAAACATAAACCCTCTCGTTCTTGCACTCATAAGTCCAATGCCCTGTCTGAAAACACTTCTGACACTGCGAAGCCGCCAAACTACTTCCTCCCACTACCGATGCAGACACTGACTTATCTTTCCTTTCACCAAGCCTCACGGCTTTCTCAGTACTCATCAAATACATCTGCCTCTTGGCTTCCCTCTTCTCCTGCCATCTGCTAGGACCTTCCTCCTTTTGACCGTAAGCGTTGACGTTTCTTGAAGCAGCAGCTGCAGCTCGCTCAGCTTGGGTTCGGCTTAAGCCTTTTGAAGCAGTGAGTGCTGCAGCTTTGATCCTGTCTGCTGCAACTTGTGTTTTCTCATCCTTTGATTCAGACATGTCTGTCTCTTTTGAGACCAATCAAAGACCATATACATTCAGACAAAAAAGTGTTAAAAAACAGTTTCAGAGAGTGTCTTTGTCATACATGGAAAATGGAATCTGTAACTCTTCAACAAGTTTGAATCAGTTTCAATTATGAATAAGAAGGGAATTAAACTAAGCAAGGAGTATATGAAAAATTAGGGTTCTTTTCTTTCTACTCGATGCAAGTAAATCAGGGTTCAGCTAATCCAAAATAGACTTGGATTCTTGAATTCTAAGATCTATTAGTTCAATTCCAAGATCTAAACTAACCCTTGGGGGAAAAGAATAAAAGGAAAACTTACGATTAGAATCGAGAGCACGACGAAGAAGAAGGAGAAGATCGAAAGCAGCTTTGCTCGGGGAGCAAGAGGAAGAAGACACAAATCAACTGGAGTACTGGTGTTTCCCGAAACTCTTCTATTTTTTTAGCCCATTAGCCCATTACACTTATTTAATAACAACAACAAAGCCCAATGATTTTCTTGCATGTTTCCCTTTTTAATACTACTAGTCTATTTTTATTTGATACTAGTATTAATTTTCAGTTTTGGTTATACAATTTATTTGTAATATTCGAGATATATTTAAATTTCAGTTTTGAGACTTTTTCTGTGTTTTTTTCAGTGAACTTGAATTGATATACTTTGGAGTAAATGGTATCTCAAATATCAAACAAGAAATTGTTAATCTCAAAAAATCCTATAAACCACGTCAGTATAGTATAATCCCCTCCAAACCATTATAATCTCTATGGTGAAATTTTCAAAATCTTCAAATGAAGAATTATAGGGCTGGGTGAAAAAAAATTCGAATCGATCCAATAAACTAGTATTGAAACTATTTTAAAATTGGACAAAAAAAATTTATGAACTTTGGTATTTAAAAAATTAGAATATAATTCGATTTGAGCAGACTTTTTTTGTTTCCAAAAATATATTTTGAAATTACTTGAAAATATATACAAATAGTATTCTTTACATTTCTACAAGATGATTTTTTAAAAAAAAATAAAAATTTAACTAGAGTTTGACAATTTTATATATTTTATAGGAAGTTATTTTTACTAACATATAAATAACCCTTACAGAATATTAACTTATTCTTTTTGCTAAAATTTGAACAAAATATTAACTTACGAAATTGACATTAAATCAGTGGCAAAATAACCTTCTAGATGTAGTGTAATTGTTCTTTATAAGAACTCCATCAAATTTATTTAGTTTTCCTTCTTAATTTGTGTTGGGTTTGGTACCATATGAAGCAATTATTTCAAAATTATGACGTATCGTGTGAAAGAAGAAACCATCACATAATTTGGATTCGTGTCTGTGATGGCATGACCCTGCAACCAATGTTGCCCATACGACGAAACTTTTTGAAGTCTTATGGATTGGATCAAACTCTCGATATGTTATCAAATTAGGCTCATCTCGGGCCCATCCTTGGCCTTATCTCTTTTATTTTTCAACATTTATTTTCTACAAATTGTACTAAATTATAATTTCCAGCTTAATAATATCGAACATAAAGTGAGAAAACTATACCACCTTCTCGAGATTAAAGTACACACTGATTACTATGACTACGATCTTGATAGTTCAATTTTCCTAAAAGTTCAATAGAAAATTCTAAAATTTTTTGATACATATGAATATGTATATATAAATAATATGATTAGATGAGTTGTGTGGATAAGAGTGTAAGACAATCCGAAAAAGGAATCAGTAGTTAAGAACTTAAGATAGAGATAGAGCTGTCTAATATCATTGGAAGGTTGGAAACAAGAAGACGCAATCTTGCATCAAAGTCACGTTACGTTGCCAATTTAATCAACACATTAATTGTATATAATGACTAATAATATATATATATATATATATATGTGAATTTGTAAGTATTTCTACATGTGCATGCATACGAGTATGTGAATAGGAGGGATACATAGAGACAGATATTGTTAGTTGGCAATGCCTCCAAGCAAACCACAAACCTTTTTATCCTAAAATTATCCATTTTTCTTTTTCTGTTATTTTGTGATTTTCGTATATATCTTCTTTCAACTTGTATAAGTTTGTCTATAGATATTACATATTCATCATTAATGCGATTGTGTTGTTTATTGATAAAGATGAGTTGTATATATTATCCACGAACTGTTACATTGTGTAACATGCATCAGCCAATAAAGTAATAACCGATGGAATTTTCGGATTTGAGAAAGATTAGATGCTCTGTTCAAACGTATTCTATGATTCTATATATATGCGGCCATATATTTTATTGGTTTGTCGGATCTATTCAACATACTTTTGACTTGATAGTATGAATTTGCAAAGCTTTCTTTCTAAACTTCAAAATTCGAACGAGTTACCCTTATCAAACCAGAGTTATATAGATGAAATAGATACGAATACACGTCTTCAGTACTATGTTTGGAAATAATACGATTTGTTTGGATGGATTAACACGAATTGACATGGACAATAAAGGTCTTAATCAATTAAGGAAGGAATTTTTTTTTTTTTTTTTGGGGAAGGAAGTTTACGGAAACAGACACATCGAATAATGGAGATTATAGTATCAGTTTTCTCCAAAATATAATAAAGAAAGTATATAAATACGGCCCCTCACATCACCCAATAACCAAGATATATATACACATTGACACAAAACTATTAATAGAGCCATATTGATTGTTTTCTGGATAAAAATGTACATACGCATAAATATCATATGCTAGAAAATAATAAAATACTTTTTACAACAATATTGTTTACTTTGTGGGATGAGTTGTATGTTTGCTTTAACGGCATGCTGCTCATGATCGATCAGATTTCTTGGCGAAAGAATTTTCACAAACTAGGTATATCAGAATGTATAACTCTGATTGCGCTAATTAATAGTCTTGTTTGTTGCTTGCATCCAAAAAACTCTAGGTGAATTACTTTTACGGTTCTTAGTCCAAAATTTGTTTATGTCGAGTACTCGATCCAATTTTAACTTACCTAAAAGCATCTAAATCAATAATATATAACACACAAAAAAAAATCTAACACTTAAAGAACATATTATTAGTTTAAACACTTTTGGGTAAGTTAGTCGCTTACAAGACAAAACACCGTATATATCTATTAGATAGTATAATATAATGAAACGACATTACTATAAATACCAAAACTGAAAGTGTCAAATTTTTCACAATAGGTTTAGAATACAAATGTATACAACTAAATGGGTGTTGTCTAATGGTAAAAATAATGCATTTAGTATAAACTTCTAAATCTGATAGAGCTCTCTTATCGTTCTATTTGATCAGTTCAGATGGTATTTGCTCAAAAAAAAGAGATCAGTTCAAATGGTACTATGTTTTAGATATATTAAAAAATTATAGTGAATGGGTTACTCGACATGCTAGTCATTTTAAGAATTTATTAGATGCTAACAAACTGGATCAATGCTAAATATATAAATCATGATTCTCTTACACTCATACGAGTTAAGTAGCAACTAGCAAATGAAGTTAATGAACTATCAATTATCGTTAACGCTCATATTCTTGTCAATCAAAGAAGATACCTCTTCTACAACGCATAAATTCTTAATTAATTAAAACCAAATAATTGAGATTTTAATAATCATAAACAATTTCAAGTTATGTAATAGTTTGTATATTGTGTTCGTTACAACAGCATTGCATATTTGGCTGTATTAGACCACATGTTAACATATCCAAGAAAACAAAACTAGTTTGTTCAAGGAAAATGAAGTAATTAGACCAATAATCAATAACAACCCGGAAAGAGAAGTGTGGGCAAACATGACTAGATGCTGCATGATTATTATTTGGTGGAGAGTCTCCCGTGACAACCTTCTCTTTGTCTCTCAGCTGTTATATGTCTTACGTTTCAGTTTAATATTTTTCATTTTCATGCATATAACTAAATGTTGATACGTTCATACATACATTGTTCTGATATAACTATCTTTTTGCTTCCAATGTCATTTTCTTGTAAGTTGTAGCTTTGTTCGAGTGGCTTTTGTTCTAATACCAATGCAGGCAGCAAATCATGTATATATTTATTTTCAAAAAGAAAAAATCATGTATATACTATTACGTGCAACCAAACCCCTTTTTACTTCCATCCGCTAATTTTTTTTATATCATATATCGTATCGTAATTATATATGTGTGTATTTTACCATTAGTTGTTTTATGTATAGTAAATTAATTTTATTTTTAATACTGTTATTGTTTCTGTTATCTAATAATGTGTTAATAAGGTTTTTAGTTTAAACAATTAGTACTTATTATCTAGAAACTAGTATTTTGTATTTTCCTGATCAATTATACATACAGTTGTTAATTTGTGTTTCGGAAGAAAATGGCAACTAATTCAAATGTTGTGGTCTGGAAGTTATATAATAGCAAAAATAAATTTAAACTAGATTTGAAACCGCGCAACCGCGCGGGTTTTGTTTTCATATATATATATATATATATATATATATATATATATATATTTGTTTTATATCCTTAATAACGTTAGTCATATGTTTAAATGTTTATATAACTATTACAAACACAATAGTTTTATAGTTTGTATGTTAATATCAATTATTTCTTATTATATATTTATCTAATTAGCTTTATATTTAATTATTATATTAATATATGTATGAAAAATCATATTTGAAAATTATTTTATATATAATTTATACTAAATTATTATTTGAGTTTCAAAGTTAGATTACCGTTTATTAAACTTTTTATGCTAATAAAGATAATATAATACTATAAAAGTTTAAGATATGTTATTTTTATACATGTATTTATAGTTACTAATGTTAATCCGTTCGGCCAATATATTATATATTTTTAACATTAATATTTTCTATTTATGAAAATAAAATTGATTGATTTATAAATTTAATATAATTTTATAACATTCATTTTATTATAATAATTTCATTTAATTTGATAGTTTATGATTATTAAATAGATAAAAAGAATAAAAACTGTTTTCATATATATATATATTAATGTATAATTATTTTCATTACTAATTTAAAATTTTATACGAGTTATTAATTAGTGGAATATTTATATGATGTTTTTAAAGTTAAGATCTTGCTAAAATCTTTTCAACAGATTTTAAAAAAAGAATTAATACATATTTATATTAAAATAAAAAGATATCAAAGATATTATGATTGAAGTGGTTACAAAGAAATGAAATATATTTAATAAATCTTTTTT